CCACACCCACACCCACACCCACACCCACACCCACACACACCACACCCACACCCACACCCACACCCACACCCACACCCACACCCACACCCACACCCCACAATGGTTAAACACACCTGAAGGTCGTGGTCAGGTAAGTGATAAAGATTTTTTAATAGTATGTTTGGGTACGAATGATGTGGGACGGTACGGTGTCGAGGTTACTCTGCAACGTACTAGTGAGCTCATACGTTTCATTCGTCGGTCATTCCCAAGTATCCGGGCCATTGGCTGGTTAGCTTTGTCACCACGATGGAAACCAACGAGACTTGTCTCCGCGGCCAACATCGGACAAATGCATAATCAGTTCAATGAGCATCTTCAGGTCTTATCCAATCAGTTGGATTTTGACGTTGTTGATGCGCGCCTTGGGCTTGCGGACATGCGTGTGGAAGATGGGCTACATCCATCTAACACCACCGGCAAATGGAAATATGAAGGAGCTATACGTGAATGGTTCTCTTCTCGTGCTGTCGCACTTTCTTCCCTTCTTTTTCAGCGTCGTCGTCGTCCACCAACACCAGCTCCACGAACAACAGCAACAACAACATTACAATTAAATAATAATTATTATAATGATTTAATTTTACAACAACAACAACAACAACAACCATATCAACGTCAACAACAACAATATAGAACAAGGCAAGTAACAACTTCTTCGAATAATATTAATAGTACTCAGCCATTCTCAGTTACACCAGATAGAGCAGTAGCACAAGTAAATAGAAATAATAGAACACATCCTAATTTTCCATCGAGATCTTTAATTAAATATTATCCACATAAGTTAAGGACTAAAGAACAATTTTTTAGAGATAATGAACCACCTAAAGAATTAGAAAAAGAAAAAGAAAAATTATTTATAATAGCAAATATTTATTATCAACAGAGACATTTTGAAGAAGAAAGTAGAAAATGGAAAATATATGAACAGGTAGCTAGTAGTAAAGAACAAGATCTAGATAAGGACGGGGACGATGTAAGAATGAGAGATATTGAAGAAATTCCACAAGCAAGACCTTTTTCAGAAAGATATTCGAAGATATTAAATATGACAGTTAGTGATACAGATAGTCAGAGTAATAACAATAGTAATGTAGAGGATAAGGATAAGGATAAGGAAGAGTATAGTGATAGTAACACCAATAATACATCAAATAGTGAGAATAGTGATACTGAAGAAGAAGATAATAGAAAAAGAAAATTACAAGATACAAGTCTTTCACCAACATCGAAAGGAAAAATATTAGAAAAAGAAAACATCCTTAGAAAGAAAAAAACAAGATCAAAAAAGAAAAAGAAAGTTGCTATTGAGAATGATCCACGTGCACCAGAGGGAAGTCCGATTTTATTAGTCAGTGAGAATAGTAATAAAGAAAAGACAAATCAGATACCTAAAAGAACACGAGCTGATACACCTATAGATCAAAAAGAGAAACGTTGTCCATGGAATGCGCATGTGCATGTAAAAAAACCACAAAGAGTTAGAATGCAACAACAAGAAATAATTAATGAACCAAATATAAATTCATCTAATGAGCTTCCTAAGACTCCACCTGGTTTAAATGAGCCACCACCAATCAGTCCACGACAGAGTACACCAAAAACACCTATAGCACCTCCTCGACCATTGGTTTATAGTCCCAATCCTATAACATCAAATATTGAAAATGAAAAAGAAAAAGAAAAAGAAAAAGAAAAAGAAATCGAAAATGAAAAAGAAAAAGAAAAAGAAAAAGAAATAGAAAATGAAAAAGAAAAAGAAAAAGAAAATAATAATAATAATAATCCAATAAGATCAACAATCGAGATAGAGATACCCGATCATCAAATGGAAGAAGATTGTATTTCATATTCACCATCAGTTATTCCGAAAGATTCTGAAATTAATAGAATAAATTTATTTAATTTTCCAATAGTTCCTATAGAATGTAAATTTCATTTTAAGATCTTTCATTTAAAGGCAGATACAGAAAATATTAGATTACATCAAGAATTTTTAGAAAAGAAATCGAAACAACAAGAAAAAGAATTAGAAGAAATGATGAAACAATTTAGTGAAGACTTACATAGAAAGATAGTACAATTTATTAGAAATAGTATAGATCCACTTATAGATATTTTAAAAAGTTCAAATCAAAAACGATTAGATAATCTTATTCTTGATCAAATGAAAGAAAAAGCCTTAAGAACGATAAAAGATAAGAGTAATAAGGATAGTTTAGAAATAATAGAAAAAGCACAGCATAGATTTGAGAGAATATTAGAATTAAAATTTCAGTTAGATAAGTTAGATAGAAGATTAAATGAGAATATGCCACCACCAGCATTAAGTATTATGGATAAATTACAGTTTAGAAGTAAAGAATTAAGTAGTGAAGTTAAGGATCAGTATAGTGAGCAATGGAATAATATTTTGAGAAAGACTAAGTTAGA